TATGGGCAGTATGATTGATCTTGTAATGTAAAAAAAGCTTAGATACAAAGTAATACTAAATTCATCATGGACGGTTAAAATCACCATCTCTTGCTTAAGCAGTACTCACATGAACAGATCCGGGAAAAACACTGAGGAATCCAAGTGTGATGGTCTGTTTTCAGCTGCACAGCAAAAGAGGGCAGAGACAGAATTCTGAGAAGTCCTCCAGAGTCTGGATCTGCCTCTGTCCTGAGGGATTTCTGAGCCAACTGTGCCGTGAGCAGCTCTGCAGTGTCAGGGACAGGTGCCTGTATTTGTGTCTGGATGGAAAACTCAGAACTCAGAGGGGTTTGTTCATCAGAGCATAAAGTAGGACGTAAACAGGAAATTCTGCATATAAAAATATGGTATCTAAATATTGAATTTCATCAGGAAGAGACAGGTAGGTCAGTTAGCCCCCATTGCAGTTAGAATTTAATTTTCGTTAAAACCATTCTCACATGCTTGTTATTGATACAACAGATAAAACTAATAATGATATCAAGACCACTGCTTAGAACAGCTGGGTTTTTCTGGTAATCTCCCACCAACACAGCGACCTTCTCCTGAGGAGCTTTTGTTCCCAAACCTTTCAGGAACATTTGGCTGACATTAAAATGTCAGAAAAGTGAGTGGCTGCAGTCGTGACGTAAAAGGCAACCTAAACAAAATAAATTTAGATATAAAAATATTAGTGAACATAATGTTCACAACATGATAGATAAGAATGAGTCCATTTTTTTTTTCCCCAGTTGTCAGTGCTTGTCAGAGAATAATTGCAAGTATGTGTTTTCTTTTGTTTAGAGTTGGAATGTGGGGAAGGAATTTTTGAAATGGAAAGGGGAATTCTGTTAGAGCACGAAGATGAGTAAGGCAACCAMATGAAAAGCCACTTCCACCTCTTTTAAGACAGACATGACAAAAACCAGCATATTTCTGTATTTGTTGATTGAGGATGAAACACTTAAAATACTTGCTTGAAAGATACATTCATGMTTATTTAACTTCAGCAGTTTATTCAGTATTGTTATATTATATAAACAAACATTTATATAATGTAACAAAACAGACAAGTATATTCTCCCAGATTTCACAGAGATTTGTTCATAGATTGGAAAGGTGATACTGCATTTCTATTTATAAAACAAGACTTGYTCTAATTGGTTTGCCTCATAACTTCCTATTGACAAACACCCTACTTTGYCCTAATTTCATTCAATTCAGTAGTGGAGGAGAAGTATTTAGCTTTATTCCCATTTACAATAACATCAATTAGTCTTCCTTCTCCCACCAGAGCAGTAAARTACTAGGGTTTACTGTCAGCCTGCTGCCAATAAAAATTTATACTGAGATGATTTGAAATTGCCCATCTTGAAACACTTATTAATATAGGAAAAAAATCACCAATATAAATATKTTACTGGTAGCAGGAATAAACTGCACTAAATGCAACTATTTGACCTGAGACACTGGACTTTTCCAATGTGTGACATTTCACAACAAATTCCAGCCCTCTATTTTATCTCTGCTTCACTGCTTTAAAGACACATTTATCTTGATGTAAATTCATAGAAAGCTTTCCTTAGGCAAAAGAAAAAAGAATAAATGAAAAGGTGGGAAAAAAAGCCTGGAGTACTACCTTGTAATGAATCATTTATTTAAGAAATTTGGTTCTGTTGTTGTTTACATATTGCTTATGACCTTACAGCAAATCCGCTAATTTTTCTTTCCTTTTTTTTTTTTTTTTTCCAATTTTCTATTAAAACTCACTGTAAAATACAGCAATCTATTTAACCATTCAGTATTGAAAAGCTGGCACCTGCTTTTTTTTTAATTCATATTTTGTTGATTAAGGCTGAAAAGATCTTTAAGGGTGCTTAGGTCTTAAGAAAAGAAACATACAGACATTTTCTAGAGAAAATGMCGTTAGAAAATACACATTATTCATCCTACATCCCAGCTTGCTCTGGGGTTGTTGAATAAAATAATGAGATGTTAATACAACATGTAAGTGTTCTGAAATTGTTTCCTGGAGCACTTTATGTTGAGGAGATTTTATCAATTAACCTGGATAAATATTCTTGTCATTAGGCAGGGAGCTCATGAGTTTAAAAACTTGAATAGCAAGCAAAATGCAAATCTTGACTGATTTGTGCTCCATTAAGTGATGGGTTAAAGGCACATGAACCATTTAATAATAAGTGAATATGCATGAGCCAACTGAGGTCCATTCCATTATGGAAACACTGACCAATCTTTTGTTCCTYAAGTTTACATACTGGATACAGAAGAGAGAGGAAATGTAAACAAAAATTTTTAATAAAAAGGCATATAATGCCAACTGGCTTAATTGCTGAAGTGCTGCTATGACAAGAAAGAGCGCTAAGGCAAAAATCACTGCACAGCACTGCAGAACTTATTCAATCTGCTCTTGAGAAAAAAAAAAAATAGATTTGGCACACTAGCTTAACTTGATCAATCTTGACAAAAGCTAGCATAATAAAGTAATTGCTAGGGGACCCCCAAAAAAATCTAAACTTAAATTTTACATTAAGGTGTTTAATATGTTCAGTCTCAAATATGCTGAACACCTCTGAATCGTGTTGCTAAGGGACATCCAACACACTGCAGAAGCATCTCTGTGTTTTTGGAATTCAGATTCCTCCCAGAAATACCCAGTGGTTCAATCGCCCACCTGCCACAGGCACCCTGGCTTCCTTCAGTAACCCCCATCCCTTCCCTGTTCTGCAAATTACTCATCTGTGGGATGACTCATTGTGTCACACATAGAGTGGATGATTGGACACTTGACAACCTCACACCTTGAGTCTGGCTCCTCAGCTGTTAAATTTATGCCTTTTGTTCAGAAGTTCTTGTTGCTGTCCCTCCTGCCAGGCAGCACAGTGTCCCCTGCCTCTGCTGAAATGCATTTTAATCTAAGGTTTATCAGTGTGCCATGGAGCAAAAGCAAATGAAAGGATGAAAGTTGCAAGACTGAATACTAAGAGTGTGAAACGGAAAATATGAAATGCCTTCAGAGCCCTGAGAGTGAAGCAGCACTGTGGTGTTGGTCCTGTCAAGGAAAGGTTTGTCATGGCCAAAAACCTCCCTTTGGTTATCCCAGGTCAAACAGCACAAATGAGGCTGTGCCTGCTGTGCAGAGGTTTGAAAAATAGGGGCAGTTTGTCACATTCTYGAGAACACTCGTATAATATGAACTTTTAAATTCCTACAAGTGATTACTCTGACTCCATACAGAATAGAAACATTGAAGGTCATGTCTTAGACTGTTTCAAAGGGAAAAGCCATTTTCTCTGGGTTTTCCAATAAAGTTTCACAAATGATTTATGATCCTAGCTGTCTGGAAATACTAATGATTTTGGGCCATTTATGGATTTCTGTTGAATTTTAATTACACCCACAGATAAGGCTCCTACACTTTCAAATGCAAGACTGATATTCAGAATGTGAAARTCTTAGAGACCTTAAAGCCCTGCTCCACAT